GGCTAGCCAGTGTAAGAATACAGTGCCGGAGGAGTTCAGCTTCTGGCTTGATCCAGCTGCAGAGCTTTCCATTCTATGTCCTTATGATAATCAGAAACAACAATAAGGTTACCTCAGATTCTCCACATGGTGGGGCTATTGGCCTGTGCCAAATGGATGTTGTGTTTTTGTGGGCTTCTTGCTGCAGGATGCTTTGTAAAGTACAGAGACAGCTGGAGAGAGCTGTGACGCCTTAAGATCACTTTGCATTAATAATAATAATAATAATAATAATAAATTTTATTTATACCTCGCCCTCCCCAGCCAAGACCGGGCTCAGGGTGGCTAACAACCAATAATAAAAACAAGTTGATTAAAATACAATTTAAAAAACAAGATTAAAATACCACATTAAAACATTAGCATGCAGCCTCTTCACAGGAGGAGAAAGGAAAAAGAAAGAGGGGGAGGGAATCATTAGGGACAAAATAAGGGCAATGATTTATCAAGGGTGTGTGTGTGTGTAATAAAATAGGAAGTGTCCCCAGTAGACAGAGAAAACAGGGGCATAGCTATTTCATGTCCCTCCTTACACTTAACCTTGCAAAGATAAGTCCACAAAATGTAGCATCATTTTACTAGCTAAATGTTTTTACCAGCCAACATTGGCCTCCTTTGCACATCTCAGTAAGCCAAAATTTTGGCTTTCCATGATCGGGAACCAGTTTGTTACATGGACTGAAAGAGAAGCAGGGAAAAGATCCCGCTTAGACCTGTCAGGAGTAAGCATGGAGCAATGGTACCAAATAGTATGGGAAACAGCCTTACAGTGGTACCTCGGGTTAAGAACTTAATTTGTTCCAGAGGTCCGTTCTTAACCTGAAACTGTTCTTAACCTGAAGCACCACTTTAGCTAATGGGGCCTCCTGCTGCTGCTGCGCTGCCAGAGCACAATTTCTGTTCTGAAGCAAAGTTCTTAACCCGAGGTACTATTTCTGGGTTAGCGGAGTCCGTAACCCGAAGCGTATTTAACCCGAGGTACCACTGTATTAGAAAAATTAAGCAATAAACTGAAAGTGGCATGGGGACATATAGAAGAAGACGGGGGGGGGGGGTGTTCAGTTTCCTCTCTGGAAGAACCAGCTGGCAGCAGGGGGCAAAGCCAAAGGCATGAGTTCTGAAGGAGGAGGAGGAGCAACACAATGCTTTCTCTAGATTGGGGGCGGGGGGCTACAATTCACATCCTCCCTTCCCATCGGCCACACTGGCTGGGGTTGGCAGCAGTGGCGTAGCGTGGGGGGTGCAGGGGGGCCGGCCGCACCGGGCGCAACATCTGGGGGGGGCGCGCTCGCACTCGCAGCTCTCTGCCCCTACCTGGCTCACTCACTCTCTCTCACTGCAGTGCTGGCTGTGCGAATCCTATCCGAGCCGCTGGGTCGCCGCCCACTGTGGAGGGGGTGGGTGCCAGGCATGCGGTGCGGAGAGAGAGCGAGGGACTATCTGGGGGAGGGACAGTGCAGCGGCCGCTCAGCGCAGCGCTGAGCGCGGGAGAGAACCACACCAGACCAGACCAGGCAGCAGCAAGAAGAAGCTGGCAGCGGCGGCAGGTTAGGGGTTAGGGGGCGCAAATTACTTGCCTTGCCCCGGGTGCTGACAACCCACGCTACGCCGCTGGTTGGCAGGAGTTGTAGTCCAACTCCAAGGGGGCACAAGGTTGTAGAAAGAAGCTGGAACAGAATTGCTTTCTTGGCTTTAGCCAAGTAACAGCATCCTGTTCCCCTGTAGTGTTTTCCAAGCTGTTATTAGTTTCGTATATTTAGCCTGATTCCAGTGTTAGCACTGCTTTAAAAGCAAGAAGGTTTGTGGGTGTTATGTGTTGCACTGACCAGCAGGTGACAGACATGTTACTCTACTTAGGACCCCTGACCACCAATGAAAATATAGTGGTACCTCAGGTTAAGAACTTAATTCGTTCTGGAGGTCCGTTCTTAACCTGAAACTGTTCTTAACCTGAGGTACCACTTTAGCTAATGGGGGCTCCCGCTGCCGCCACCCAATTTCTGTTCTCATCCTGAAGCAAAGTTCTTAACCCGAGGTACTATTTCTGGGTTAGCAGAGTCTGTAACCTGAAGCGTCTGTAACCTGAAGTGTCTGTAACCCGAGGTACCACTGTAGTACAAAAGTGATAAATGAGTTGGACAGAACAAGACCACATTCAAAATGAAGTTATATGCAAATGTTTGTGGTAGCCGCTGTTATGTAACAATTATGCCTCACATAATTATCAACAGTTGCGATTCTCAAAAAATGGCTACACTTAAGCAGAACAATTATTTAGATAGAAGAAGAATTACTATTTCTATAAGAAACTGTACCTTTATATCCACTTTTGTCTAAGAGTTGGGCAAATGCTTATGAAAATGCAAATAAATCAGTTTCATCATTTCACCCAGTGGGGAGATGGTATTTAGGTTACGTGTCCAAAATACTTCAGAATCACACTTGTTGATAATAACTGGAGGTGTCTGGAGATTCTACCTATCTGAGTGTCAGGAGTTCAGCCTACACTCGAGTAGGACCCTGGCAGAGACACATGCCCAACTGGCATGTTCTCTCCCTCCTGGTCGATTGTTCGGGACCTTCATAAGTTTTCTTCAGCCCGAACATCACAGCAACCGATGCCAACCAACACCGGCACACTCAGGGATCCGCAGAGTTTGTGCATCATGCACGTGACAGAAACCCCAGCAACTCAGCATTTTGGCTAATCTACTTTATTGCATATAAACACACACGGAGCACTGCAACATGGCGCCCTCCCTCTCTAGCATTAGACAGCAAAGGGGGGGGGGAAACAAAGGACAATAGTCCCACTTCACGGAACACAGTAACACAAACATCCTGTCTTCGTCACTTCCCACTCTGTGGAGTCAAAACATATACCGTCGTGTGAAAGACAAAAATCCCATGACTGCAATCATAGATCAGGAATTCTAACACTGAGATTCTATCTGAGATTCTGCACACACACAATCATACAAACACTACAGCTGTCAGGGACTGAACCCATGACTTTCTGCATCCCAAACATGTGCTCTACCACTGATCCTGGGGCCCTATGCATGAACCACAACCTTCCCTAGGCCCCGCCCCTTCTCCTCTGGCCCTGCCCCCACCCTTCCTGTTCCATGATTTCTCTGAATAATCTTGCTTAGCTCAAATGCACCCTGGAACTATTATCATAGTTCTTGCTTCCTTGGACTGAAGATGGAGACACATGTGTGTTTGTGTAGAAAGCTCTGACTTTCGCATGGATGGGAGGTAGCCTTTCGTATAAAGGAAAGAGCCGCATCCATTGCCCCGCCCACTTTTACCTCAGGCTCCGCCCACCCCTCTGCCACGGCATGTGGCCCCCTAGAAGGTTACTCATGGGGGGATGCGGACCTCGGGCTCAGAACGGTCCCCCACCCTCAGCCTAAACATTCCAAGCTGAGCTCATCGTTTCCTCCTAGAACTGTTAGGTGTGACTCTTTCTGCCAGCACCCGGGGAGAGATTTTCACACACATCTGGAATTCCAAGAAACACGCGAGGTTCCGTTTGTCAGCGTCATATGTTTTTTGCCTTTTTGATCACAGATCCCAGTCCGAACGGCATCCATGCAAACTCCAGAGGTACTACCCAATGGAAACCTCACATGCAGAGAATATGTTACCTGGCCTTGGGCAGGTAGCAATCGCAAGGCTGGGGAGTATTTATTTAGAACATTTACGCTTTCATGATGTTTGTATCCCACCCTCCCTCCATGGTTTGTATGGGAGATTAGCAGCCAAACCTAACAAATGTATGCTCTTTCTGGTTAGCATGTGAAGGGGTTAAGTCCACAGAGCTGTATTGTTGATAGGGCTCTGTGTGATGTCATTTCCCCTCCTCTTCTGGGGAGGATAGAACCTATAGTACTTCCTGCTCCCCTCTCTCTTCCTTTGACCAGCATTAGTTGCAGACATGCCTCTGCATGTCTGTTGGTTGCCTGGGTGGAGGAGAGGACAGGGAGAGTTGTTGTGTTGGGATTTTTGTAGAAGCTTGCCTACTGCACAAAAGGTAAAATTTACACACACACACACACATATATAATGATTTATATACCACCCTTCCTCATAAGATCTCAGGGCAGAATTTAAGTGTCTTGCCTGCATAGTTTTTCCTGCTGCCTGACTGCAGTGTGTCTTTCAGCTCTGCAAATGCCTGTTGCTTGCCTTTGATGGAACGCAGAGTGTGGTGTGTGGTTGTGTGCAGAAACTAGCCGACTCTACAAAGGTAGTGTTTAAATTGATTCCTCCACCGGGAAGGTGCCCCCTGGAAGGTTGCTCTGTAGGGAATGTGGCCTTCAGAGGGGAGCTTGTCGCAGCAGGACAGATAGGCACCTGTGACTCTTCCTCAACCTGACTTGTCTCCGCCTCTTGGCCTTCTCTCCTGCTTCCACTTCTGCCTCTGATTCTGGACTGCTGTCTGCCACAGACTCTCCCCGCTCACTTAGCCCTGTTACCTCTTCAGCTTCCAACACCTCTTCCCAGTTCCCTCTTCTCCCTCTGACCACTCATCATTGTCCCACAACCACTGTCCAGGCTTTGAGCCTTCTTCTCTTGCAGTTTCTCCAGCTGGTTCCTCCCACCATTCCTCTGTGTCTCCAAACAGCCTCTTTGGCCTTGTTTTGCATCTTCTTTGAGGGTTTTTTGCCTGGCTGGAATGGGTCCTTTAGGTCAGATAATGCCTGTTGGTTGCCTGGGTGGAGGATATGACAGGGAGCGCTGTTGTGTTGGGGTTTTTGTAGAAGCTTGCCTACAGCACAAAAGTTAAAATCTACATCTATTGCCCTGCCCACTTTTGCCTCTAGCCCCACCCACCACTGGTGTGGGGCCCCTAGAAGGGAATGTGGCCCTTGGGCACTTATGGTTATAGCCACGTTTTGGAAAGACTTAAAGGCGAGAACTTTAACATGTATTGCCCTTACAGAAATACCGACGCCTTAGATAGCTCAGACGATAGAGCAGGAGACTTTTAATCTCAGGGCCGTCGGTTTGAGCCCCATGTTGGGCAAAAGATTCCTGCTTTGCAGGGGGCTGGACGAGACAATCCGTGTGGTCCTTTGCAGCTCTGTGGTTCTATGATTCTATGAAATTAAGCCTGGTTAGAGGAACAAGAGGGACGCGGGTGGCACTGTGGGTTAAACCACAGAGCCTAGGATTTGCCGATCAGAAGGTCAGCAGTTCGAATCCCTGTGACGGGGTGAGCTCCCGTTGCTCGGTCCCTGCTCCTGCCAACCTAGCAGTTCGAAAGCACATCAAAGTGCAAGTAGATAAATAGGTACCGCTCCGGCGGGAAGGTAAACGGTATTTCCGTGCTCTGCTCTGGTTCGCCAGAAGCGGCTTAGTCATGCTGGCCACATGACCTGGAAGCTGTATGCCAGCTCCCTTGGCCAATAAAGCGAGATGAGCGCCGCAACCCCAGAGTCGTCCGCGACTGGACCTAATGGTCCCTTTACCTTTACCTTTAGAGGAACAAAGTGCACAGATTTCTTTGTGGGAGAATAGCCGTTTCCTTTTGTTTATAAATTCTCCAGGAAACCAAAGATTCATACTAACGTTTGACTCACTTAATAAGATGCATGGTTGTGTATATATGGGAATACAGGTTTTCGTAATGTATTTGGCGGGGTGGTCTGGGGAAATAAACAAATAAGAGGGGGGGGAGTTTCCTACCCCATATGTAACCACTACACCACACTAGCAGGTGCAGATTGGGGGTGCAAGATGCAGGTATGAAATCGCATTGCCCAGATGATCGCTGAAGGAGGAGGCGGCTTGCCTCTGGGAGTCCTACAACTGAGGAATGGAGCCTGCAATTAAGTTTTCATTACAGAGGAATTTGACAAACGGTGTGAGGTTTATTTGCTTCTTACTGAAGATGCTGCAGCTGGAGCTCAGGACACCTTCAGCTTCTGCAAAAGATTGTCTGCAGAAGCTTTATCTTATTCAGGCTGGAAATGGGTCACTCGGCTCGCTCTTGCAAGTGATTACAACATTGCTGGAATCACTCCATCCATCAGTGCGTGAACTCTGGGAACACTTAGCCGAGCTCGGCTCCAATGCATTACTTCAGCTGGAGGAGCCGCGATAGGTAATGCAGCGGCGAGGAAGGAGCTAAATGATAACAAAAGTCTCCCGGCTGAAAATGTAAAGTGCTGTGCAACTATTTTTAGTGACCTCTCTGGCTCGGATAATGTAGTGAGCAAAGTGGATGTGAACATCCACCTTGGGTGAATCAAGTCTGGCTGCTTGCCATCCAGCACAAGCTGGCAAAGGTTAATTCCACCTTTCCCAAGGGGAAGAGGTTCTGTTGTACAGTGTACATGTTAAAAAATGGCCCTTTAATGGACCGGTCCTGGGGAAAAATGTGCCTGCTATACGATCTTTCTGCATGAAGTGTATAGCTCGGGTAAACACAGGAAGAAGGCACTGTGCTTTGCAGCGCAATTCTACCTATTTATATCTACAGCTATAATAAAAATATAAGGTTGTCATCGTGCTGCAGTTTGCTTGGTTACAGATAGGTGGCGCTGTGAATTACAGTGTGATGAGGCAATGGATTGCCTAGGCAAAGCATGGAAGGGCAGCCAGAACAGTAGCTCCCCAGCTCCATTGGCTCATCCTGCCATCCCTGGGGACCACTGTCTTTGGAATCAAGACCCCCCAGGCCAGCTGGCACTGCTACCGACCACCTTCCTCCTCCCTGACCAGCCAGGAAAGCTGCTGCTTCTGCCGCCACTGCCAGTTGGTTAGGATGAAGAGTCTGTCCAGCAGGAGGAAGGAGGGAAGTGGTTAGAAGCAGAGGCCCGCTGATTTGGTAAGCTGCTGCAGCCACTACCATCAGTCCCCAGGCTGGCCCTACTCTGCTTCTGTCTTTCTTTCTGTGCTGCTGCTCCTGCCAGGTTGACTCGTCATCTTTTTTGGCTGTTGCTGCAGTAGCATGAGGAGAAAAGGAGAAGGTGTAGGTCCTTCTGCAATACCCCCCTCTGACTTCTGGTTTGCACCCGTAACATTGGGAGTAGGCAAAGGAGAACGAGGGAGAGGGGATAATGAGGTCTAGTGGGCTAGGGTAGGCTGAGTTGGCAATCTTCCCTGCCCTCCTCCTTTGCACCTCCAACATGGGGAGTGGCAAAGGAAAAGTGGGGTGGTGGTGGCAAAAGGTTGAACGGATCATTGCAGGACGGGCTTTGCAAGTCTTCACTTGCCCCTCTCAACCTCTGATTTTGGGATTTTGCCAGGTGGGCAGGAGGACAACTCACCTGTCAATCATAATCACACCACATTGACACCATTGATTTCTGCATTGCAGCGAATTGGACTAGATGACCCTGCATTGCGGGGGATGGACTAGACTCTACCATTCTATGGTTCTGCAATACACTAGCAGCGCCCAAGGTGGATTACAACAGTTTTAAAATTCAGAATTAAAAACAGTCAAACTATTGTCAGTGTTTGTAAAAAACAAAAAAAAGAAGGAAAGGGTTCTGACCTCCCTTTGTCTCTTCAGCCTGGTCTGCATAAAAGAGTCCACGAGAATATCCTTGCAGAGTTTTATTCTTAAAAGTCCTTGTGCAAAACACGACTGAATAACTATACACACCAGCACTAACCAACCAACCCAACCTCTGGACACAAGCCTCAGCACAAACTAACATTTCTCACTTTATATATACAACCTGCTGCAGGCCGCTGAGTCATGCTGACCCAGCTTTATTCACATTAAAGAAACAGCGGCCATTTTAGCCGTGAACATGCCCCCTTGTAGAACTCAGCCTGGAAGAAGAGGAGGGCGGGGACAAAACTTAGAATGTGTTGGCTCAGCCTGCTGTGGCCTCTGGTGCCACCTACTGTTCGCCTCCTTGCCTTCTGCCCTACCAATCCTAGTGGGCACCTGCTGCCACTGGTCACACTGTATCTCAGAGAGACCTACCCAGGCACAATAAATTAGAACAGCCAGAACTGCCTCTATAGAGGTGCAGAAATAAAACTGCCAGCACCTTTGCAAAACTAAGCAGGTTCTGGCATGGTTTCAAATTGGATGGGGGACCGCAGTGGCGTAGCGTGGGTTGTCAGCACTCGGGGCAAGGCAAGTAATTTGCGCCCCCTAACCCGTGGATTTTAGCAGGGGGCAGAGAGCTGCGAGTGCGAGCACGCCCCCCCCCAGATGTTGCGCCCGGTGCGGCCGGCCCCCCCTGCACCCCCCACGCTACGCCACTGGGGGACCGCATGTTGAGATTACCACATTGCAGGGGGTTGGAGGATTGGGCTATGTGAGCTCCAGGGTCCCTTCCAATTCTACAGTTCTATGATGTTGCTGATCCATCCAGGGGCGTAGGAAAGGGGGTGGGGGCTGTGCGCCCCAGGTGTCATCCCTGAGGGTGGTGACAAAATCCCCCCTGGGCGGATTGCCGCCTCGCCCCCCTGGGTGCTGATCGTCGCACTGATCACCCGCAACAGGTGCCAATCACCGCGCCAAACGCCCCCCTTGGCACCGATCGCCCCCAATGGGCGCCAATCGCCTCACCAATCATCCTCCTGGGCAGCTCGCACCATCTCCCAGGTGCATGGCATGTGTGCCGCTCCGGGTGCCCAAGCAGATAGCTCTGCTGCTGGATCCATCTGTGTTTTCCAACTCTCTCTCTCTCTCTCTCTCTGTGTGTGTGTGTGTGTGTGTGTGTACAGTCATACCTCGGGTTACAGGCGTTTTGGGTTGCGCAATTTCGGGTTGCACACCACGCCGAACCCGGAAGTACCAGAATGGGTTACTTCCAGGTTCCGGTGCTTGCACATGCGCAGAAGTGCTAGGTTATGCTTTGCGCATGCGCAGAAGCGCCGAATTGTGACCCGCGCATGCGCAGACGGGTTGCGAATGCTGTGGGCTGCGAACGTGCTTCCCACACGGATCACGTTCACAACCCGAGTGTCCACTGTATTTGTATCTGTACCTATGTAGGCACTTGATTTATATAGCCTGCCTTCCAGGCTCACCAAGCAGTTCACAAAGTAAAATAAACACTCCAGCATGATAAAAGTTTTAAGAGGCCCTAAAATGGTTTAAATGATGTAGATGGTCAAATAACAAGCAGAGATAAGATCTATAATAAAAACACCAAAGAATCAGCCATAAAGCCAGCAAATCAGTGTTGATTACAGTGGAACCTCGTGTTACGTCCTTGCGAACGCTGTGGGTTACAAGCTCCGCTATCCCGGAAGTAGATGCTTCCAGTTGTGACCTTTGCCCCGGGATGCAAGCGGAAGTCGCTCACTGGCAGTGTGGCAGCAGCAGGAGGCACCATTAGCGAAAGCACGCCTCGGGTTATGAATGGTTTCGGCTTAAGAACGGACCTCCAGAACAAATTAAGTTCGTAACCAGAGGTACCACTGTATAGTCACCCAACACCTTGACACACCCAAAGGCCTTTTGAAACCTTCTCCATTGCCTCAGGCGGCAAAATGTCTTGGGCTGAACCTGATCACCCACCCAAATGTGCACATGTCTATAGTCAAATGGACTTGGGCTCCATCCAAATTGTGCATTTAAAGCTTTGTTTCTACATTAAACCTATATACTATATCAGTTATGGCTTCCCCTCCTGTCCCAAGCACCCTGGGAACTATAGCTTGTTAAGGGTGCTAAGCATTGTTCAGTGACCCCTATTCCCCTCACAGACCTATTGTCCCCAGCACTGCTGAACAACCAATCCCTCTTCCCTGGGAATTGTAGCTCTGTGATGGGAATAGGGGTCCCCTAACAACTCTCTGCTCTCTTCACAAACTACAGTTCCCAGGTTTCTTTGGAGTGGAGGCAGCCAAGATGATCAAGGGCCCGGAAGCCAAGCCTGATGAGGAACGGTTGAAGGAGCTGGGTATGTTTAGCCTGGGGAAAAGGAGATGGAAAGGAGATTGGATAGCTCTCTTCAAATATCTCAAGGGCTGTCCCATGGGAGATGGAACAAACTTGCTTACTGCTGCTCCAGGGGGTAGGACTTGACTCAATGGCTTCCATTTACA